GAGTCTGACTGAAGTGCATACACCTGCAAACGACTGTACAGCTTGAATAGGCAGCGGTTTATCCTGAGGCCGCGCCATCTTATGTTGCGGACAGAGATCAAATGCGCGGATTTTCCGTAACAAAGCTGATGCGTACCATCTTTTGCAGCAAGTCTGGCGGTAAGTCAACGGATTGCATTTCCTGTACACACTCTGATCCATCAAGGCTGAACGCTGCCCCTGTCAATTTTATCTACAAGACAGAGAGATGAAGAAAAAGTGCTTTGCAAATGAATGAGTACTTTATAGGACAGACTGAGTTTTGATGACTGGTTTCGAACGCAGCCAAATAAAAAATACTTGTGAGTCTAGGTCTCAGGCAAAAAAACAGCTGGACCTGACCTCTTAGGACTAACCCTCAAAACAGGCAAAACCACCTCCTAATTTTTTATGTAATATTGTCTCTATGCATGTTTTTCACACAAAAGAGGATTTTTTCAGTAACATCTTGCCATTTTATCATCAATTGGACATGCTGTTCTCGTGCTGTATGCAGATTTCAGAGATAGGTCAGCCAGAAATGGATTCATTTTCCACCTCACACTCTATGCATGTGGGCTGCCATGTTTGTAATCACGAACTTCAAATGACCTATATCATATGACCTATGTTATATTGGATTGAAACTTCACATTTGTGATGTTTGTATATATCTACACATCCTAAGTTTTGAAATGATTGGTTCAGTCAGCCTACCTTGCCATCTGCAACCTGCGAGTCGACCGCCACGGGTGCACTGCAGCCCCCCTGCAGTGTCCCTAGCAATGCCCGCTCACAGACGCACTGCAGGAGTGTCACAGGGTCGTGCAGTCTGGACAGGAACTGGACGAGTCTTCGGTTGGCAACCTTGCACTCCACGGCCATGGCACCTTGGCATGGGGCGTACATGCAGACATCAGGAAGAAGGACCTGCGCCCAAGAGAAATGGAACGAGTCGAAAATATGCTGGTTCAGGGGCCAATTTCAGGGAGTCGATAAACATCATTATGTTTATGTATAACCAATGACAGACTAATGGATGCTGGATAGCGGCAAACATAGTGGTACTTTTCTCTATTTTGCCTCATGTTTGAGCTTATGTTTGCATGGTCCATTCGCAAACAACAGTAAAGGCCCATTATTGTGTTTGCTCTCACTGAGCATCTCGACAGCCTTCCCGTTCATCAGACACAGAAAATAGCTTTTAAAATCTGAAAACATCATTTGCACTGGGAAGATCTTCAAACACCGGGCAGACATTGTACACGGACCACTGTTCAACACTTTTGCATATTCAGCAGTGTTCCCGGCTACAATTCTGTGGTGACGTGTGATAGGGTTAAAGTCGGCCTTTTGCTGCGTATGAGGATCATACCTGGCTTATTCTGTGCTCCCAACCCATCCTATGCAGTCCAGCTGCAGCCAAGATCAGGCACGCGTAGTTGCCAGACTCGTCCAGCTTACGCAACCTGGTGTTTAGATTACCACGCTGGGGTAACAGGTTAAGGCCATTCTAGAATTCCGAGCTTCCTTTTGGTGTGTAACAAAAATGATGAATTATATGTAGCTACAGCTCCGATCTTAAACTCCATCAACAGTCTTTAGCAGACGGCAGACCAAGGAGGTACGTAGACTGAAAAGAAGTCCATTTTGATTTTGAAGTTGCACATTCCATTGCTTTAGTCAGCCGGGATGTGAGTGGCCACATACGAAGTAAAAACCTGAAAAGAGCTAAAAGCTAAAATTTGGAAAGCTATTGTAAATTTGTGCGGAGAGTTGTACAAAAAGCTGAAACTCAGAGTAAAACTCTATACAAAAGATGAATTCTCATGCCCCTTGAATCAGAGAAGGCCACTTCTTGTAGGACTTGTAGCTCTTTAAATCGTCGGTGCACTGTTAAGGACAAGTATGAAACAGTCCATCCTGACCCAATGAAGTTCATTAGGCTGGTGTAACAAATGTCCTTCACATGAAATGACTGAAGAATCTTATATTCAGGTGGGATAGGATATAAGTCCTCTGTACGTTGTTCCCAGCTAATGCTGGTACCCATGTGAACTCCTGGATGGACTGATGAGGCAACGAAGAGTAAAGTAGCTTGCTTAAGGACATAGTTTTGACCAGAAGCTGTAAAGGATACGACGTCTTTAAATTCCACGAGAGGAAACTTCCTTTTGAGTTGAGCTACACGGCGCACAGAACTTGTGCCAACTACACTGTCAACAGAGAGAGATAATCAATATAAACCAAGGAGATTTCCTGCTCTGTCATGGAGGACTGTGACTGTAAGCCTGGGAACCTGACGTTAATGATTGGATAACGGTGACGACAAAAACAGAAACTGGAGTGATGATAGGTACAATGATAATGATGACGGAGAAAATGATAATAGAAATGATAATAATGACCGTGTCCAGGACGACTGTGATGATGGATGATTAAATCAAAGTTGAACTCTTTTGATTGGTTTTAATTACAGGTTTTACTCTTAGACTGATTTATATTCATCAACACTGTACATGTACATGTATAGTCAGTGCTTGTCCGGCAGGTTATGAAAAAGTCACAAGCTTACTCGGGTGGGAGTCAAACCCAAGACCGCTTGCTTACTAGTGCAGATGTGTAAGGTTTTGGTTGGATCTTGATTATTAGAAATATCGCTCTAAACAAATATCATTTCTAATGGAAAAATTCAAGGTTTTTGAACTGTTATGCACACAACCTCACACCTTGCGTGCATTATGCAACACATTTAACTTCAAAAGCAAAGGTAAATGGAACTCCCCCTCAACCATAAAAACAGGTTCTTTTATAAATTTGATTTTATGTCTTGTGCAAATGGCGTTCAGCCCCTGTGTGAACATGTTCTAATCCTCCAGCTTACCTGCCAGGTTGGAGGGTCTCTAATGTTCTCCCAGCATGCTTTGGGCTCAGGACCAAGGCATCATGGGGGTCATCTCGTCTGCAAAGACAAGGAACCAACACATCAGAGTCCCATGCATGCAGACGTGAAACACACAATGCAGACGTGATCTTCTGCTGCATAAAAGTGATGTTAAAATTCGAAAGGACTTTTCCAACCTCTATCCACCTCAACTGGTGTGTGTGCATTTACATACATATGTACATTTCAATCCCGGGAATAATCAGTCAGCTTTTGCAACACTCTTGGCTGTAACCAAGAAATTCTAACAGGGGTGTAAATCCCGAGGGTAGGTGGGGGTGGTAGAAGGACTTTCCCTCCCACTTTTTGACCAGGGGGTCAGGTTATTGAATCAGCCCGCCTCCCTTTTCATGGTGAGAAGAGGCAGATTTTGAGTATTTTTAAAATTTCAAACAACCAATCGTTCAGGAAAAAAGAAAGAAAAAGTAAAAAGCTTTTGATTACAGTTTTAATGTAAGGTTAAGGGGTGTGAGGCAAAGAGGTACACCTGCGTTATCATGAGGGGTGACCCCTGCCATCAGGTGGCGTCTTTTATTAAAGTCCCCTCCCCATTTCAAATTTCCAAAGCCGGGCAACTGTGATTTAACTCATCCCATATTTCCCAGTCTCCGGTGCAGATTTGCGCCACTGAATTCAGAAAAAGTCAATCCTGATCAGAGAAACAAATTAATTCTTGGGTTCAGGACTTCAATGCGGCTTGACCCGCTGTGCACATACTTGCAGACGGTAGCGATGGCCATTCCGTCCGGCAAGACAGATGGTAGGTCCTTCAAGGAATGGACAATCATGTCAACTTTGTCGTCTGCTAGCGCCCTCTCCAATTCCTTGGTGAACAGGCTGGTCACGCCAATGTTGGAAAGCGGTTTGTCCTGGATTGTGTCTCCTATTGTTTCCATGGTAACTGCAGAACAAGAATGTCATCAATCACCAGGGTCTTTTCATGCAAAATCTTAGACTTTTGTGGGAGAGGCCCATGGTCAATCAGTACGGTTTAAAAAATTAATCACACACTCATGTACAGTCCATTTTTTTAATCTGTAATCTGATTTAATTATAATCTGTAAAATGTCCAAATTGTAGCTGTACTTCTAACAGAGGTTATGCATTGCTGGCATCTCCATGTTGTCTCAGAGGCTGTTTTGTTATTTCAATTTACATGTAGCTACAACAAATGCACAAAAGGTTTAACGTTACTCGAGCCTATCCCAACAATACAAATTTCTTGCTCTCTGAGTATGCGTTAATGCATAACCTCTTTTCTGCAAGTCGTACATTGCCCTCGATTAAACTTGTGCATACTGAATAGGTCGCTGGGACAAAGCTCACATCTTTAAATGAATGTAAGATGAAAAAACCAAAATAAAAAGCAAACAAAAATATGCCCACAACTTGCAAAAGGATGCCACTTGTAAGATGCCGATGTTTTTCTTACCAACATCGAACGTCTGGGTTGGGTACAGTTTCTGAAGCCGTTCTATCACCGTGTTGGTTTGAATCATTGCTAACTGAAAAAAGACATGTAAAATAGATATATATGAACTTGGAATTATTGTGCCAACTGTAGCACTGTCAAGACAGAACCCATCAAGCGCCCTCTCCCGTTTAAAGTGATTAACAACAACCAGGATGGTGTCTACGCGCTTAGGCCTACTCAATTTACATGTACAGTACGTCTACGTGGACCAACGGCCTGCCATTGCCTACATGATTAACTGAATTAGGCCTACTCAGCCGCGCGCTACAGTCATTTACCTCGCTTTTTCGTGAGCCCACACGAATCACCTGCGGTATTTCACCAACCACCTCGTCAGCCATTTGCCCAATCTCAACTGTTCAGACTGAAATCGGAACCAAAAAGGAGACACTCAACTTGACCACCTGCACCTGCCGTAAACACGTGCTAGTATAGCACACGTCTCTGGCTTGCTATACGTCTGGGGTCCAGTCATGTGCTGAAGTTAACTGTACTTTGCCATATGCTGCATATATTTCCTGTTATTGTATGGTAACAACCTCGGTCTCTATTAGAATGATCGCGGCCTCATAAATTACGTATAATGACTTTTCCCTTGTCACCTAAGTGCTGCTGAGTAGCACATCCTGAGAATAAGCTTGCTGCGCACGAACAGCGCCCAGCCCGCCCTCTTTTGACTGATTACGGAAAGTCTTGCTACGGGATACGTGGCCGAAGCCAGCGGGGCAGAAATCCGTGCAACCTGTTCCGATCCCAAATTGCATTTTCGAGGGAAGACTTTTCAGTAGATTTTCCACAATGGTAAGGAATTTATTTATATTTGCGATTACCCATTGATTGGGACTGCATTACTGGGGAGATCTTGAGCCAAACGTGATTGTTTTGACGCTGAATATGGTGGATACATCAGCGCACACACCTGTCATCGTGGGCCCAGGCCCAGAGAATTTTTAAATGCACGACATCCGTCTATTTCCGACAGATGGCCTTGGACCGTTTTGTGTCACGCACAGTCATAGTGTACTCTCCACCAACATGACCAAGTTAGCTTGAGCAACTTTAGCCCAAATGCTCATAACATCAGGAATTTCACAATTTATAGGGCTGGTTCCGAGTTTGTGCCTTCTAACTATATCAACAGATTTGTCAGACATGTCGCACATCATTCTTGGGTCTGAGTTTTTCAGACCCAAGAATGATGGATTTGTAAGGTTTAGGCCTACAGTCACTTCGCCCCATTTCCACGTTGNGAGCATACAGTGCTTAGTAATATACGTTGGGTGGGGGCAAACCAGTTATATATAAAAAACAAACAGCCATCAAGTCCGTGCAAGCCTACACAAATGCGTAATATTAATACGCTCATCACAAAAGTTCATTCCAGTTTTTCAAAAATTTCAAGACTGGCATGACTGGCCGTTGCTGGATGAAATGAATCTCCTCCAGAAGTGGAAGTGTTTCTGCACAGAACGAACAGACTGTTGTGGACTTTTAAAAAGAGTGCGAAGTGTTAAATTTTGCCGAAAGCTGACCTGAATATGTATCAGTCATGTTTTTCAATTTCATTTTTAAAATGAAAAAGAATTACAATACACATCTGGCATAATATTTTGCCAACTGTAGCACTGTCCAGACAGAACCCATCAAGCGCCCTCTCCCGTTTGAAATGATTAACAACAACCAGGATGGTACCCGTCTACGCGCTTAGGCCTACTCAATTTACATGTACATGTAGGCCTAGCCTACGGCCTGCCATTGCCTACATGATTAACTGATTAGGCCTACTCGGCCGCTGCAGTCATATTTACCTCGCTTTTTCGTGAGCCCACACGAATCACCTGCGGTATTTCACCAACCACCTCGTCAGCCATTTGCCCTGTTCTGACTGAAATCGGAACCAAAAAGGAGACACTCAACTTGACCACCTGCACCTGCCGTAAACACGTGCTAGTACAGTACACGTCTCTGGCTAGCTAGCTAGCTTCGTCTTGAGGTCCAGTCATGTGCCGACGTTAACTGCACTTAAATTTGCCATATGCTGCAGATATTTCCTGTTATTGTTAGCCAACAACCTCGTTTTCTAGTAGAACGATCGCGCCCTCATAAATGACGTATAAAGACTTTTCCCTTGTCACCAATGTACTGCTGAGTAGCACATCCTGAGAGTAAGCTTGCCGCGCACCAACAGCGTCTAGGCCGCCCTCTTTTGACTGATTACGGAAAGACTTGCTGCGGGATACGTGGCCGAAGCCAGCGGGGCAGAAATCCGTGCAACCTGTTCCGATCCCAAATTGCATTTTCGAGGGAAGACTTTTCAGTAGATTTTCCACAATGGTAAGGAATTTATTTATATTTGCGATTACCCATTGATTGGGACTGCATTACTGGGGAGATCTTGAGCCAAACGTGATTGTTTTGAAGCTGAATATGGTGGATACATCAGCGCACACACCTGTCATCGTGGGCCCAGGCCCAGAGAATTTTTAAATGCACGACATCCGTCTATTTCCGACAGATGGCCTTGGACCGTTTTGTGTCACGCACAGTCATAGTGTACTCTCCACCAACATGACCAAGTTAGCTTGAGCAACTTTAGCCTAAATGCTCATAACATCAGGAATTTCACAATTTATAGGGCTGGTTCCGAGTTTGTGCCTTCTAACTATATCAACAGATTTGTCAGACATGTCGCACATCATTCTTGGGTCTGAGTTTTTCAGANCCCTAAGCACTTCGCCCGTAACTACATCGTCCCATCCCCACTTCGCCCTATTTCCACTTGGCCGTCTGTGCTCGAGTGTGTTACAAGCGTGTTCAAAAAATGGTCAAGAGGGGAGCTCTGCAAACGACATGTAGTTATTATAGAAAACTCTACAGCATTAAATTAATGTCGACTGGGTTGTCCATTATGGTGAGTTAATGCATATGGTTGGACTAGCATCAGGGTTATTTCTCATCCTCTTCAAGTTTATTTCAAAGCCTTACACAGAATTCTGTTCACATCGTTCTGGTAACATGTCGATGCATCCAGACAGCTGTACCCAGGCGAATGGATAAAGCTCGGAGGGCAGGAAATGTTGTGGAAACATGCTCGCTTTAAGTACGAGCAAAACAACCAAAAATTAAACTGAAGCGTTTACACGGTTGTCCACTGTCCAGTTGCCTGATAATATGAATTTACTTGGTTACTGATAAAGCTGCTGTAGGGAGGGACCTTTTTATTGCTACGAGAATATCAAATCAGTGCTCTGAAATATGTGATTGCCGAGCTTTCGGTTACAACTGAGTACCTTTTTCAGGGCAAGCAGATATTTCAAAGCACCGATTTGATATTATATTCTTGTCGTTATTCTGATCACGGTGCTACGCAGCTCTTCCATATTTCTCTGACCTTTTTATTGCTGTCTGGTTCCCAGACACAACAGATCCCTTCTATGTTTATTGTATCATGCTGACGCTCTTGCTGCATGCAGTTACATGTAGTACATTGCATCACAGACACTGAGAGCCACTGTGCATGTGCCTCTCAGCGCTTCGACATTCATGTCTTATGGAGCCTTTCAGGTCACTGCAGTGACATTGAGACTATATCGATTAACCACTGTTAACCTTCAAAACGTGTTATGTGATTACATGTAACTCTGCATTTGGCTGTTTAGTAGAACGGTTACTGAGTTTCAGCTTTAGGATCCCTCCCCTGATTGTTCAGAATACATACCTGCCAACTGTTGCCATTTAATGGGAACTGTTCTGACTTTCAAGTTTTAAACGGTCTGAAAATGGGAATGTTCCAATTTCCATAAAAAAGGAAAAAAAATAGTAAATAAATAGAAAAGTCCCAGAAAAAGAAGGTGCTATTTGTGAAAAAAGACGTATCTTTTTTGCAAAAAAGAGGGCACTGTGTGCGGGGTCAAAATGGCAATTGCTACACCTACATGTACACACCAAGTGTGCAAACACCTTCAATTGTGGACTCCCTATTGTTCCTCTTTTGTTCATACTTCAACTTTTCCTGAAGACCTCCCATATGTTTTGTACACGTTTTCCAACCGTGGACGCTTCGGCAACCGTAGACCCTATTGTCCCCTATTGTTATAAGTCCACGATTTGGATGTGTATACAAACTCATGTATATGTATGTAAATAGTTTGTCATGTGCAGCTGCTTAGGTTGCTATGTGCTCCTACAATGGGTGTCCCGATTTCTGACTTTCAGGCAGGTACGGGAATGGTATACATCCCAAAACGTGTACGACTCATGAAGCCACATCTTTTGTCTCCGCCCTTCCCAGGTGCTCCTCGCGGCTGCCATCTGTACCAAGAGTGGTAAGGCCCTCCTCTCCCGACAGTTCGTGGAGATGACCCGGGCACGCATCGAGGGCCTCTTAGCGGCCTTCCCTAAGCTCATGAACACGGGCAAGCAGCACACCTTTGTGGAGACGGAGAGCGTCCGCTACGTCTACCAGCCCCTGGAGAAGCTGTACATGCTGCTGATCACCACCAAGACGAGCAACATCCTGGAGGATCTGGAAACCCTGAGGCTATTCTCAAGAGTGGTAAGCTAGAAACCCTAATCTTCCTCAATCCTCCACAGTCCTTTGGATGGTTCGGAGGATTGGGGCTGAATGGTAAAAAGTCTTAGGTTAGGCCTTGTGTTGTTCATGCTCCGTCATGCATAAATTCAGGCCTAGTTTATATGTGAAAGCATCCATACTGCTCTGGGATACCATTCACACTGAGACGGTGCTCACCCCTCGGAGGAACGTATTTGTCAAATAATGGAGGATTTTGAATGATTGATGCTGTGTACAAGTTTTTCCGTGGAGGCAGTTGGAGGAATTGAAGGTGAACTTTCTTATTTTTGCCCGTGAGGATAAAAAGGAAAGCTCTGAAATAAACCTTCATTAAATGTTAACGTCATTTATACTGACAAAGAATTATGTATCACTGTGTTTTATGTTTTAAGCCACATTTTGAAAAACGGGAAAGTTAGGAATGGAACCCAAAATAGTCTGGCACCACTCCATTCAACGGATAACAATGAATAAGATAGACTCTGGGAACAGGATAAAAACTGTAGCTTTGATGGCCTTTACCTTTTGCCTTGATGCTTTTTGAAATGTTCCAAAGGCACAGTGATTTTCTAATACCATACAAGGACCCCTTGTCTGATTTTTGTTCGGAAGTGAAAATTCTCTTATCTCACACACACACGCGTCCACCATTGCCTCACCAAACTTCGTCCCCATCTTCAGATCCCTGAGTACTGTCGTGCCATGGAAGAATCCGAGATCCTGGACCACTCCTTTGAGGTCATCTTTGCGTTTGACGAGATTGTGGCCCTGGGCTATCGGGAGAACGTCAACCTGGCCCAAATTCGTACCTTCACCGAGATGGACTCCCACGAAGAGAAGGTGTTCCAGGCCGTCAGACAGGTGGGTGGCTATTAAACAAACCCGGTGCCCTCTGAAATTTGGTCTCCTTTGAAATTTGTCCTTTGCATGTAACAGGATATGAGCTCAAATTCCAGACACCAGGAATGTATATTTGAAACAATAGCAGAAATAGCTTGGATATTTCAAAGATTTTTTGAACATGTACACTGGCACCCGACCACAGCTTGTTTGTATTTTAATAGTCAGTGTTAAGGCCAATAGTCTCTGCTCACAATCTTGCAGGGTCTTCACAAATCTTCCGATGTGCCAGAATCCAATAGCTTATTTAGGGGGACCAATCTTGCAAAATGCCTCAAACCGCCTGGTTGATGTTGAAAATTGATGTGCATCAACAGGGATTTCCTTGCCTAAATTTGCATCATCACAAAAGCCCTACAACCTCTAAACACAGTTTTTCAATCCATATTTGGAATTTTTCACAACTTCATAAACCAAACCAACCCTGGAAAGCCACTAGGAAAGGCACCTTACAAAGACAGACAAAAGGCAGACACCAGGTGCAGCGTGAGAATTCCATGGAATGTCCCCATTGTGTAGAACCTTCAAGAAATAAGACAGTATAGGCAAATCCAAGAAAACACGGTTACTGCAGGGGCGCCACATTTTCTCACATGTGTTCTTAAGCTTCAGGCCTTTTGGCAAGTGGCGGTTACCTCAGCCAAGAGGCGTGCAGAGTGCTGAAGTACATGTAAATACATCCCGTACAAAACTATGTATGTAAAATGCATCATCACAAGAAGCAGCAAGTGAATCAACACACGCACGCACTCCACAGGTTTGCACTACACCTCCTGGTTCAAGTGACAACACGCTTTGGGTCTGTACTACACGCCTAATTCGTGTGGGCCTGCGTAGTACCTCCGCAGAATTGGCCGTTAGTTCTGGGCACTGGATTTGTGTGTAAGGAATGTTTTCTTCTCTTGTTCAGACCCAAGAGCGGGAAGCTAAGCAAGAGATGCAGCGCCGGGCCAAGGAGCTGCAGCGTAGCCGCCGGGAGGCGGAGAAGAGCGGTCGTAGGGGCATGGGCTTCAGCGGCGGCTTTGGGTCGTCCTCACGAGGCAGCGACATCACTCCCGTCGTGTCAGACCTTCCTGTGGAGAAACCTAGGCCCTCGGCTGCCCCATCAAAGTAAGTGTCAGTGGCGACGTTGACAGAAAGATAAGCTAAGAGTTTTGAATGGATTCAAAATTAATGTTTGTTTCGTTTATCCAACAGTGCACTAAGCACTAGATTCATGATGATTATAACTGACAGTGACATTGAGGGAGACAATACAGAAATGTCCAGTAAAACCTAAGGTATAGTCCAGGTACCGGTAAAGCCCACAGAATCATGTAGGGACTGAGAAGCCAATCCACATGCCGAACTCGATGGGATTTGAACCTCAGATTTTAGGGGTGTAAGGTGAGGGAAAGAACCACTATGCCAACTTGACTGGATGGATAATGGGCTGTCGAGTTGGATCGTGAGAGATGATTGGATTGAATTAGAGAATAGATACTGAGTTGATTCTAGAATTTAGTCCCAATGGCATGCATTCATGATTATTGAGACTGAGGACATTGGTTGCTTGGCTTACATGTAATGCAGTATTGATAAAATGTAAAAAAAGCTTTTCCCCCTTTTGATTTGGAGCTCAGTGGCACATTCAATCCAGTCCAGACAAAAGCTAGGGACTTTGATGGCCTGGACAGACTAGGGGTAATACTGAAGATTTGATTGCTTCACAACTATGCCCCTCTTCACATTGATGTCCAGGCCAAGTGGGACAGGTAGACCGATGTAGCCTAGCCATAAGACTGGGGACCTTCTTAACCCCTTTATACCGGGAGGCGTCCACAGCTGCGGCTTTGTGTGAGGATTAGTGCATACCACACATACAGTCTATTCACCATGCAGCTGCGGGTTCAATGTGGGCCTGCTGCTGGACAAAGCCCCCCATTCAGGGCACACCACAGCCCAGCAGTCACGGTCAAAGGAATCCCGCCGTGAAGGGGTCAACTGGAGTAACACAGTTACCCCCTCCTCACTGTTATGTCTGTGCCCAGTTAGTTCAAGTCCACCAGCGAATGTGAATATTGAGACCAAGGATGCTGCTAGCCACATTTAGTACCTAGGTGTGTCCTTTGGCTAATTGTACACTTTGACCTCCAGGCCGAGTGGCACAGGCAAAGCCATGAAGCTGAGCAGTAAGACCAAGGACGTGGACAGCTTCGTCAGTAAGCTACGCACAGAGGGCCAGGACGTCATCTCATCCACAAAGTCGTCCAAACAGTCTGCGAACATTGCCAAGACCACCACACCAGCAAGCAAAAAAGAAGGGTAAGGGGCATGGTCGTGCTTTGTTGGAGACCTGCAGAAAAGAGCAAAGTGCAGCAGGTGTAAAAGTCTGATGGATTTGGTCGCACTGAGCAGTAAACAGCAGCCCAACAAATTGCCTATAGATGTAGAGATGGAGGGAGACGGTCCCCGGTAACCACTTTCTGCTGGGGAGCCCGGTTTCGGGCATCATGTGTTTATACACGTGGCTGGGATCTCTGAAATCGGACAAACGGAACTGGGCCTTGTAACAAAAGACCAGGCTGCTGGGCATTACCGACATTTTTTCACTTTCAATAGTGGAGATAATCCAGCCTTGTTTTGAAACAGTATACCACGGTATACTGCATGCTAATCTGGCCCCTATTGAAAAGAGGTCAGCAGCGCACTGTGTCAGGTTTGTGAACAAAAGAAAGTTATTTAACACTGCACAATCTGGGCTCTTTTTACAAGGCTGCAGGCCTGGCTGAAATACTCAGGCGTCAGTAGATTTTGTCTGTTAGACTAGAGTTGCCACCTGACAGTAATTGGTGTGGGTGTTAATGTCCATTAATTGAAATGATGAATTTTTGAAGAATTTTGAAAACTGAAAATCTTGAAAGAGTCCTGATTATGTGCACTGCATTTTCCAAACCACCTGGCACAAAGCGGTTAACCTCTTTTGGACCTTGTAGTGGCTGGCAACCATAGGCTCCCAGGCCGTTGGGCCTCGGGGATACCTGATAGGTTGGATCTTGTTGCACTAGGCAGGCCTATGCCTCCAAGGTGTTCCCCATAGGTCCACTCGCACATTGAGGAAAAGATATCCCTGATGGCTGACCGGGAAGGAGTTTTACAGATCCTGGATGTCTGTGGACTGATCGCCTGGAATATTACCGACAAGATCGATGCAAACTGATTTGCCTGGCAGGGTTTCTAGCCAAAGTAACCTGGAGGGTTCAGGTTACGTAATGGCAAACTGTTATGTCCAGCAGGAATGCTTACATCACATCACTGCAGCTGTAAAACAAATTGAGCATATCATCCTTGTTCCCACAGGGTCCACTTGCGTATTGAGGAGAAGATGTCCCTGACGGCTGGCCGGGAAGGAGGTTTACAGAGCCTGGATATCCATGGGCTGATCGCCCTGAATATCAGTGACAAGAGCGAGCAGGCGGGCCGCATTAAAGTCGGCATTGCAAACAACGACGACAAAGGAGCACAGTTACTGGTAAGAGGAGAGAGCAATCCTTTTGTGCATGGTTTGTTATCACTGAATGATGTGATCATCTTCATTTGGTTCTTGTCTTCAACGTAGTGTTTGTGCCTTGTCCTTCTAGAGATGGGTGTGTGTCTGACACTGGAATATTCCTGTCAGTACAGTAACTTGAGAATTACGTCGTCTACGGAACTTCAAAGTTGGTTTGTTTATTGCTCTATGCGATTGAGAAAGCCTATTGCATTTGGGATGAAAAGGTCGAAGGTTAAGGCCACAGTGAAAGTCTTGACAATGCAATAAGTTTAGAAATGCTTTGCATGGGAATTTCAAATGTGGCTTGTGACATTGGTTTTGGTAATCCCACAAGTCCATTGCATTGAGAGTAAAGGTCACAGTGGCTAAACAAATTAAAAAAAAAATTGCATTTATTATCTGAAAACTTGAGTTGTGGGTTTGGTTATTGACTTGGCATTTTAATAATGCTTTATTCATTATTTTTGTTCGGTGCTCGGTAGCTCTGTCTTGGGTAATTTTTGCAAGCAAGTTTTTGTCAATCATCTGCCCAAATCCTGTACTGTCCGGGGAGCAAATACCACACTTTCAGCATTTTCAAAAATTCTCTTGGGACATCACACTTTATACAGTATCCTCCCAAACCTTTCAGGGTTGGTTTCAAATTATCTTTGGGAATTGGGATATTGAACCATTGCACCCGTAGTTTAAAGAGTTGAAAACAAATATGCCCCCATCTCCCTCAAAGAGCATACTTGAAGTTTGAACCACACTGGAAACTTTGCCCTTCAAAGAAAGTTTGAAAACCGGGCCTCATTTCTTGGTACCAAGACTTTGTTTTGCTGTGTATACATGTATATGAGGACAGGGAGCATGCTGCCTGGCTTCAGAAACTGTAGCAGTTATTGTGCGCCATGATTAGTCTGCCCTCCCTGTACTTAATGAGCCTTGTTTTGAAGTGTACACACCTAGCCCTTTTTTGCTCTTGTTAAATGCTTCATTGATGCTACCTCGGAGGCCGTAAGAACGGCGACATGCTTTCTGGTGTGTGGTTGCGGCCATGGCCGACCTTTGCCTACAGGTACCTGTGCACTTTCCTATGGTTCCAGAGAGGTCCACAGTTCTGGAGCAATGTAGGAAAGCAAAGTGTAGCGCGACCCGCACAGAGGTCTGTCGATTCTGAAATGATGTGCGTGCCGCTGGAGAATGGCAAAGCTGTCTGCCATTGGTTGTCACAGGGACACATGTTTTTAGCGTGGGCCCACAACATCAGGATTCAGTCCTTAGTACTCAATGAGGTGTTGAGTTTTAGTGTTCAGCGTAATTCTGTCCATCTGGAGACTAGACAGCAGTAGCTTCCATGGTGGTTGTTCTCCCTGCAGACTCATCCGAACGTAGACAAGAAACTCTTCCAGTCTGAGTCTTACATCAGCATGAAGAATCCAGCCAAGCCCTTCCCACTGAACACTGATGTTGGCGTCTTGAAATGGAGACTAACCTCCCAGGACGAAAGCCTCATGCCTCTGTCAAGTAAGGTTCTTTGTTTTGCTAGTTGAATAATCTTCCCAATTAATGGGGAGGCATTCAGCAGGTGGGGCAGTTCATGACAGTGCCAACTAACAGGTAGAGGGCACAATCATCAATGCATTATGGAGGCACCTGACACCATTGCATAGTAATCACAATCGCTATACCTTGGCCCTGCTTTCGTAACTAATCTCACAACTCCACATTCTGGGCACTACCTTCTGAAGGTAAGTCACAAGCTAGTCAAGTAAATTGTTACCAAGGGATCCCTTATGTTGCTGTCATCTCCAGTCTTCTAGTGAGTATACTTAGTGAGTGACTTTGTGACATGGAATCCATTGGAACATTTCATTGCACCAAGTCCATGGTCTTGCCCATTTTAATTATTCAGAAAGATTTATTACGACTTGCATTCTGAGATCAACGTCCTCACACAAAATGCGTCGCTACACTTTGCAGGGTTTGTCATTGAAGTGTAATGTTTTAAACAAAATGTTTTAATGTTTAGTTCAGTGTGTTTGATAATGTGAAGCACCTTGGAGCATTTTGATGGAATTGGAGCTGTATGAATGTATTTTTGGCATTATTTGTTTTCCCAAGTTAACTGCTGGCCGTCTGAAAACAATAAGAATGGATGTGACGTCAACATAGAGTACGAATTGCAGCAGGAAGACATGGAGCTGCAGGATGTAATCATCACCATTCCATTAATGTAAGTATTCAGAGAGAGTCTGGTTTTTTTATGAGTAGTGGCTAGGGTTTGTATTGTTGAAGGTGAGCTACCATTCCCGAATCAGGTTGAGCCACTGTCTGGGAAATTGTTACAGTGTACTCATGACCAATGTACATTCCACAATGTTCATTGCCTGTGAACACTACCCAAGCTTTGTGCAGACAAAATGTTTACTTTGGTTTCTTTGAAATACGAAATAAATAGCGTAAATGGGAGAGCTTGGTTGGTGGGTATCTGACCACAGATTCCAGTGTCTTATCAATAAATATTCTTGTAATATATTGATTCAGTATAGAAATAAATGACGTCCAGTGGTGTATCCCTACATATGTTCTGTCACAAATCCATTCACAAATCTAGAAGCCCCCTCCATTCTAATTTACGCATGCATCAGTAATGTTCATAAGCAGGTGTTCTTTTGTGTCACACCGAAGCGTTCAAAGCAATATCTTGACCTTTTTTCCCTCTTTGCAACAGGTCTGGTTCTGGCGCCCCCATCGTCGGCGAGATAGACGGCAATTCCCGCTACGACCACCGCCGCAGCGTCCTGGAGTGGACACTGCCAGTCATCGACGCCAGCAACAAGACCGGCAGCCTGGAGTTCAGCGTCGGGGGCCACCCGGACGACTTCTTCCCTGTCACGGTCGGTTTCATCTCACGGAAGTCTTACTGTGACATCCAGGTAACAAACCCTGTGGAGGAGAAACTCACCATTCATGTACATGCACGTTTCCGTTACATCCCTAGACATTACACAAGGCTCTAGGGTTGAGATTTGTGAGGATTTTTCCTGATTCCAGGATTTCTTCATCAGACATCTCCTGATTTCAAGATTCTCTAAACACTTCTTGAAATCTGGAAAACCTGATTATTCAGGCATTTTCACACATTTAAAGTTGATACAGACCTCAGGAAATGGATATTTAAAGGGTTGCCCTTAGGTAAACGCAACTTTAAGGGGCATTGTGGACATCCGGGAGTTTCACAAAATTGCAGGTAGCAACAACGCCGCGCCGGTGAAACAACTGCAACGAGCGCGCGCGTACGTACTGATCAACGAAAAGATTTTTGAACTGGCTGGTGCGTGCGTACGTCGCCACAGTCGCCGTTTTCACCAGCGCAGAACCTGCCATTTTGCGAGAATCCCGGATGTCCGCGCTGCCCCCACACCATTGGTTTATGCTACTCGGCCCCTCAAAACCTCTGGTGATTATTTCGTGGATGTGTCATCATATTCCAATTTCATCTCTGTGCAAAGCTGATCCATTTCTCCCATTGATCTAAGCCCATTTTGTTTTCAGTTTTCTTGTTGTGTTTTTGTTACTGCCGAATGAAACTTACGTATACTTATTTCTTGGTTTTCAGGTTACGGATGTACTAATGCTGGACAGCGAGCAGCCTGTCAAGTTCTCCACGGACGCCGCTGTGCTCGTGGAAAAATATGAAATCGTGTGAAGATTTTAGGACCAGCGCATTCTTATTAAAACAAACTTAATATCATTGTCTGCAAGGAGACCAAGTCCTCAACAAACCTTTTTATTACCAAGACCAGAACAGTAACATGAGTTTGGGGGCAGTTCCACAATGTTGGCTCAAGGTATTCAAAGTGTTGCATTGGTAGAGGTAACGGCACCATAAACAACTTTTGTTCGTGCCGTTAACTCTAGCTTCACAGACATCCTCGGCAGCCGGATTATTGAGTAAACAAATTTTTGCAACCTTGCAATCCATGGTGCTCCTCGCTTGGTGCATCATCACAGGTGAGAAACATTATGCACAGCTGTTCATGATTTGTGGCATGAACGTACGGTGGCTTCAGGTAATCCAATATGTCAGTTTGGTATTTCAAAACAGGCAATGTCATTCGTGAACGTGGCACCTGATGTCATCCCATTTCAAACATATTCAGTGTAGGCGAGTTGAGGCCCCACTTAGAGAGGGCCAACCTCATCCTCCAGTGCAAGAAACACAGTGTGCTCATAAGTCATGCAAAAATATGGAGTACATGTACTTGTGACTTTCATCTGAATGTGCACAAACTCACAAAAGTGTTTTTTTTTTGGCAGCCAGTTGTCCGTGGAACGTTGCATTTGCGGGCTGAGCTTTAGTAATGTGGAACTTGCTTTTTGAATTTCCAGGCATGGCCATCAAAACAAGGATTTCCTTCTAGTTGTGACTGTCTTGCGTAACAAAAGGGTTGATACATCTTCGTAAAATAATTGATTCTGACGATCCTTCCAGTCTTGCCTGTGCATGCATAAAGACTGGTCTTTACCAAATGCCATTGAAACTGTGAAACAGTCGAGGAGTAACACATTGTACACATTTATGTTGGTGTTACAGACCGGTTTTGTGTTTTCTGTAGCCACAAAATCACAGAAAGTTACACCAGGGTCTTAAGTGAAAGCATTTGTTATAGGGGAAGGGACTACAAAAATTAAATGACGTTGAGAAATATTTGGACGATAGATTGTCGGGGCAGAAATCCATTCAGGAAGATTTGGGGAAAGTGCAGATTTTCTTTTGCTGGCATTATTTTGAAAAAAAAATTGCTCTTCATTAACAAAATGTTAAAGGCATTTTTTGAAGGAGTCGTCGCTGGGATGAAAGTGGGAGACTTACAGCTGTTGTCACATCTTTAGATCATCCCTGCATTCACAGCTAGGACCATCACAGTTACTTGTAGCTTTGTTTTTAATCTGTGAACCCGGAGAGCATTTTGTGAAATCTGAAGGGGAAACAAACAGGGGAATTGGCAGGCATTTGACCAGTTACGGTGCGGAAAGAATCAACTATTTTATGAGCCAATGTGTACAAAACAACTGTCATAAATTCTAAATTTTGTATAATATATCATGATATTAATGTTAGGTGAGAAGCCATTCATTCATTATTCAAACACCAGTTTCCTACATAAGCTGTTTGCCTTATTTAATTTTTATTTCCTTTTTGAAAAGTACTTCAGTTCGTAACGGCTTTTTTTGGGTTCAGTACATCTGTGGCTCAACCAATGTGCAAAGATTGTAGACCCAATGGACTATTAGACTGATTTAGTATTGATTTCACTTAAAGAAAAATAAATCTGAATGGAATGCACCGTAGACCAACTCAAAGTGAAGGCACATTGGTTTCGAGGGCTCCATTCAGCCTAACACCAACCTTGCATTTTATTGAAATTGAATTGTTGGCGAGTGTTAGTGGACAATACACACATACTTCAATGTATTCAGTCCAGAATTTCATCTCCGGTCACTAGTGTCAAGACTCCTTTACCTCGCAAAACATGACAACCGGTACTTTAAAATTTGTCCAGTAAATGTAAAAAGTTGCCAGTTATTTGGCAGTCATTAGAGGCTTGTTGTAACATGGGTGCCGAACGGTCTCTGGTGCCCTAACTTGTTACATTGCAGGTGTTTTTTTTGGATTTGAACTCTCCAGACTTGTATTATAATTTGTTTAAAGCCCATGCATGAGCCTTGGGCTGGCAATGGCTGGACAGAGCAAGCACATCATTTGGGAAAAATGCAGAGGCAGTGGCTTATTAAGATTCTGTTTTAGTGTCATTGCAGTCCTTCGCCCCTTCATACATCTTGACCTCTAAATGCAAGAATTGGATACAGCCACAGTCTGGTGAAGTGAAGAGCTTGTACAGTGTAAGTGCGCATGACTCAGTCCTCCAGGTACCAGGTTAACTAGACATTCCAACCCAGAGAAATAAAAACACTTGTACCTCTGATGATCCCACTTCCATGAAAGGGCTGTCGCATCTCACTACTAAGGGCGAGTTCAATCAAGAACCACTTGTTAACTAGAGTTTGGTTCATGATGTACCTAGCGCATGTGCAGTGAAGTTGAAGCACGAATGACCCTAGTCAACCATTGTCAGGTCATTAGGCCGAAGGGGGAAAAGGTGACCGCAGGAAGGGCAAAATAGCAAAAATAAAAGTGAAAATGGTCATTTACTGGTGACATATTGTTTTTCGACATTTTCTCTCTGCACAGTGCTATTAAAACGGTTTACGGTAACCAACGATGCAACCAATCCCAATAAGCTTGTTGTGAATAGCCAACTGGACTAGTCCAACCATCATCAACTAGCATACGTTTGATCAGAGTTAGTTGAACCATGGTTAACTATGGTCCTTGAATTTAACTTGCCCTAGGCTGTTACAATCCAAAGTATGCATATGTGTGATTTTGACGAGCTCATCTACAAGGAACTGTTAATAAATCCACAGCTAGTAACATGAAGTTTGTTTTCCTTCTTCCGGTATACTTTTTATTGCATTTGAAGAAATGATTGTTGAAAGAAGAAATGCCTTAAAAATATCATAAACAGTTAAAATTGTTAACTATCCTTTTTGGAAGTCATCTCTTCTGCTGATAAGGAGATCTTGAGGGCCTTGGCAAACAAAAACATATAAACGGACTACATGTATTTGAAAAATCCAATACAGGAGGGTTGTGCAGCTTAACAAAAGCTGCCCACTACAAAAGTGATTCCTTTTTTGAGTGGTTACTTCTTGGTACATGCTATCAGCAACATTCATTATATGTTGATGAGAGAGATACCGATGTGGACAAAGTGAACTAATCACATACAGCGGCAATGTAACAACATGATGTATCACGAGGCAAAGATCGCCACCATCGATCCTCTTTTTCCCCTAAATATCTGCCAGATTACAGTTATTCAAGAAACTCGGTAAAATGGGTAAGAAATGATGGAAGATGCGAATCCAAAACTTCACCAACCCTTCAACTACATGTAACAAAACCTTTCTTCCATTCTGGAAAGTGGGCATGGACATGTATGATCAAACAGGGGTCCCATCTTTCTTTGTGTCCACACTCTGTGATTCTCCAAGATAGACACTGTCCAGTACTGTCCTGAGTCTCTCAACGTCCTCGGGGCCTGTAACAGGCATGTCCTCGGAGCCAGTCTGAGGACCCTGCCCCTCTTCCAATGCCTTAGAGACGACCTTGGATGCCCTTAGTTCCTGGACCGCCTCACGGATGAGGACGTTCACGAGCCAGTCGGGGTTCCTCTTCTTGGGCGGGCGGAGGGGTGGGTAAGGGTTGCCATGGAACTCCAGGAATGCCATGGCCACGTTGCCCACTCTTTCAAAGCCAGGCACGCGCAGGAGCTGTGTGTAATTCCTCTTGCGGTCTTGGAAGCGGGGTGCTAACACTTTGAAGAGTTTGTGGACTTGTCTTTTGTCCTGTTGAAATGTAACGATACACTCTTCAAAAGTTAAATATTAGAAGAAAGTCTGACGAAGGCAACATGTGCACATTTGTGTTTTCCAATCTGGTATACACTAAAGATAAAACAAGTTTTAAAATAATAGTATGTTACAGCATCCCTTTAACCCCTTTCACAGAGGGATTATGTTGACCGTGACTGCTGGGCTGTGGTATGCCCTGAATAGGGGGCTTTGTCCAACAGCAGGCCCCATTGAACCAGCAGCTGCATGGTGAATAGACTGTGTGGTATGCACTAATCCTCACACAACGGTCTGGTAGGAGCAGTCCTCCATAGCGAAGGGGTTAAGGTGGATTTTACATATACATGGTGGATTTTGTTAAATGTTCCCTAAAAGATGACAAAACTCTCAATACTTCAAATCATTCAACCCTAACACTTCACATAGGCCATGGGCTGAACTCCCAAAAGTGCCCTTAAAATGAGGGAATGCTACACAGGGGTGTGAGTGGCCACTTAAAGCTGAAAACAGCTACATGTAGCATAAAGCTGAAATGTAAAGAGTTGCCATACTTTTGTACAGACCAGGTGTACAAAAAAGCTGAAATTCAGGGTCAACATCTACACAAAAAGCTGAAATCAGCTGAAGAGCTGAATTCTCGCACCCCTGCTACAGCCTATGAGGTGACAGGAAGAACTTTACACCAAACTGTAGGGATGGGTGCTCTTTACATACAAATACGATCAGTGTTCAGAAATCTAAGATGGCAGCCAAAACCAACAAGCCAAATGAGGGCTATTTAATACTTAGCAGTTATTGAAACTCAAACAAAATTAAACAGGGGGGGAGGAGATTTGTGTGTGTTAAAACAAAACTTAACCTTGTATTTTGACAAATCAAGCCTGAAGATTTCAACCTTAGTGTTTCGAATTGAGATCCCACTTACTACAATGTCACACAACAGTTTTCAACATGTTCAAAGTGAGAGGTCTGCTCAGTGTTTCCAAGATCTAACAGGTCTACTAGCCAAGCATGCCCAAGAGCAAACAGTCCCCGAGTCCTAGCCTGTCACAGGGCGCAACACAGAAACGGTGCAAATGGACTACCTCCCACTATCTGTAGATCGGCAGCTTAACAGTGAGGTTGTCGACTGAACAAGAGCCAATAGGGAATAAGAGCTTTGCCAAAAACAGAACACTCCCAATGTTGCTGCTAGGTTTACTTTGTATTCTCATTTCAACTCACCGTCAACCAGTAATCGGCAATCTTCATGGCTTCCTCGTCTGTGTCACCTCTCTTGGCAATGTCAATCAGCTGAAAAGGAAACGTGAAAGGAATGCAGCCAGATAAGGAAAAGTACCTGTATCATGTACATCAACTACATTGGCAGCGGACAGGGGCACCTTTTTAACTGGGGGGGGGGGAAGCAATGGCCCCCTCACCTTTTGCAGGTCTTGTAATGGAGTGGGACTTAATGAATCTGCATTTAATGGTTGATGCCTGATGCTAGCTAGAAGCCATTAGACCTGAAACACCATGTAGCCACGGATCACGCCCAAATAACACGATACAACCTGGGAAGTGGTGCTGACTAGGTACTTACCAATGATTATAAAGATGAACAAAGCAATTGACTTGAGCGGAATCTGACTGCAGCCTCCTTTATAATCAGTTGGTAGAGCATCGGTACAATATTCTGGAGGGCACAGGTTCAAATCCCGCTCCGGTCAACTTCTTTGTTCATGTTTATAACCATTTGTAAGCACCTACAGTAGTCAGTTTCCCTATAGGCCCATAATTGTTTTCATGAAATTAAAAAAAACTTGAAATTCACATTTAATAAAAAATAATAAAATCTTTGTTCTTATTTATGCCTTATTTCAATTAACTCTTCACTTGAAATGTCAAAAGTCTGAAATTAGAAATTAAACACAGAGGACCTACAAGTACATGTAGGCTAGACATGCTAGAGCATGTGCAAAAAGACAGTTCTGGGGTCCGGACAACTCAACTGTCAGACTGTTTGCCAACTTGAGGGCTAACTCGACCACTGAGACACGGTATAACTTTATAAAGATCACCAATGACAATTATGCACTAGGCTTACCGTAACTAGGCCCTACAGAATTTAGTTACGCGTAAGTTACACTTACTAACAGACTAAAGCCACTTCATTAAAAAAATGTACCAAGACAACGGTGCCTTCACTTATTTACGTGAGTCCATAACATTGGAGTCCTGCAAGTACCTACAAAGAAGCACGAACACACAGTTACCTATACCCTCAACAATCTTCTCCCAATAATAAGCCTTAATCAAGCCAGCCTGCCTTACCTTCTCAGCGTACTTCTGTGTCTCGTGTGCCTTTGCAAATGGGGCCTCAAACCGTTCATACTTCACCAGTGTTGTGATAAAATGGCGCAACAAATTGATCCTCTGACGCGGCCCTCCGGCCATGCGCCGGTATATCTTCCCGTGTCGCATCTTTCTCGGTGATTAACTTGTGAGGTATCTTTAAAACTGTGCTGTTCGGGGGCTGTTTCTTGCAATATGTATGATAAAAGACATCAACCAAATTCCCACGGTACGAATGTGTTTGCACGGCCGGTTTTAATCACTTTGCCCATTTGCCACTTCGCCCATTTACCACTTTGCCCAATTGTCACTTAACCCATTTGTCACTTCACCTGTTCACCGCGTGTCACTTCTCTCACGGCGGCTTTTGTCAACATCGAAAGGAGATGCGACGAAGACATTCACAGAGAAAAAAAACCAAACTACCCAATAAACACATAATGCTGTTGCAACATTTTTTCAAGGCTGCACCGATGTTGTGATTAAAACTTTTGAAATAACATTTTAATTACAGCTTAGAAATATTCTATAAAATGAAATAAGCGTATACAGTGACAACATATTATTTAAATGCCCCCAATTTGATGTTTTATCTGAAAAGTTGAATTAATGTTATCCAATTGTTATTATGGAATATTTGAAACGGTTTTATAGCGAGAATCAAATATTGCTACATTTATTTTTTATGACATTAATTAGAAATTATCAAATTTGTATCCCTACGTGTATTTTGAAAATGTTACAACAGTGCTTAAGATGCTGAAAGCTGTTATTATTATGATGTGGTGATCATAAAATTCTTACATTCCATAAATGTTTAAATAGACAAAAACAATGGAAATTTTTAAAAATGCGTTGAAGTGAATGTTATATAAGCACAGCATCGATCAAACATTATTATAGTGGTAGTGAAATGCTTGAATGATGTGAATTCAATATACTTGTATTGCTGTTGCCAGTCAAGGAAATGTAATGTACCGATGTTGATCACATTCTCAAAACATTAGTTTGATTGATGTTTGAATCAACGAAAGATTTGCTCATGTTTAAATCAGTTAAGTCGATTTAACATCACCTATTAATGTTTAAAACTGGCGTATCCAATAAATATATTTAAGTCAGTAGATTTGATAATTTTAAAACATCATAGCAACATCATCAAATTGGTAATTCCACTGATGTTGATAGAATGAGTCGTATGAATAAAAACTAGCAAAATGCCGAAGTTCAAGCACAAAAGCATTTACTGAAAAGTAAAAGCATTAAGAATAAGCAATTGCTTGAATTTGTATGAATAAAATGTTTCTTTTACTGTTCAGCATCTGCTTGTACAAATAGTAGCAAATGCTTTATGCCTGACTTCACAGCCGAACGGTTCAAGTGCTCCAATTCTGTAGAACTTACTCATTCTTATTCATGCAAAATGAAGCAACTGCTTATTGTCAAGCACAAGCTGAAAGAGTAAAAAGTAAATACCTTTACTTTTTAGCAATTGCACTAAAGTAAACTTAGTGTTTTTCATTATTATTCATACAACACGGGTAAATGCTTCAAAATGGTAGTAAAAGCAAATGCTACTTTTTATTCATACGACCCAATGTTCTTGTAAAACTGATAAGAAAATATCATACAAGTATACGAACAATTTTTGGGATGTTTGAGTGAGCCGACTTACTGCTGACGTTTACAATTTGAAATAAACATCATAAATTAGCCTATTATTTAAAAAATTACTTATTAATGTTTGAGACATATTTGAAAACAAAAAGATAAAGGAAGCATATTGATGTTCTCAAAATATCATTTTAACATTTCTGTTTTATTTTGACATGTTTTGATGCCGTGATTTGCAATCATACTTGGATGTAAGTGACGTTGAATAAGTCACCAACATTTTGAACTTTTCGATACTCCCACGTTTGGGTCTACGGGCGTCAATAATGTTTATGAATTGTCACCAAGTATCACACAATAACATTCGAAACTTTGGGTGCAAAAAGGTATTTTAATATCTAACACTGAAAACCCTCGTTTAACATTTCAGTTTATTACATGTTTGACACAACGCCTACGAAATTGGCCTCCAGTATTCACTACTAGAAAAACATAAATTGTCCAAAATCACTCAATTTAAACATGTGTTACATCATTTTACTGTAGCTGTAATATAGATAACATGAACATTATTTAAAAAGTCTTTACCATTCCTCAAAGTATCATTAATTTTTAATAACATGAAATGAACACGTTCAAGTTTACTTGCATGGAATGTTTCAAGTCAAAACACTATAGGCTTAATGTGAATATTGTGACCGTCGGTCTGTGTTCTGACAACCTGTTTTGCATGTCATTATTGTGACGTTAATACCATGTAGTATACGTTGTAAAAAATCATTATAATGTTGCTTTGATCTCAGTTTACATGTTGACCCTAGCTGGGCGTGGTTTTCAAGCGTTGCAATTCATCACCAACATTTTGGCAGTTTTGCTCAACTAGAGTGATATGTTACGTCAATGCAAATTATGTTGTCATATTTGATGATTCAAAATTCCAAAGAAACAAACCGGCTAAAAATAGTAAACGTAGGCCTAATCCAACACAATAATTTTCTTTGCGTGCTTACAGTGACTGCATGCAGTGATATAGGAGTGAACAAACACGATTCAAAAACATCGCATAAGCAGAGATGTTGCATGTAGCTGAGGGAGCATAAGAGAGGTCATCAGTCACCAAAGGTGTGTTTGTGTATTAACTCGTTTTTCAGTTTCAGGAGGTTATGTTCACGGACTCATTCTGCTAACAAAATTCGTTCGTTACAGGGATCCGTAAATCGGGATTGAAATTAAAATTAATGGGGCCCGGTACAAGTTGTTGGGAAGACTAGCCACAAAATGGGTTCACGTCTAGACCTCAAGAGATTGCAAATGGCACTGTGTTATTAAACCCTAATCCAAGCTCTTTAGTATTATGTCAATGTGATTTCATGAAAACATTGTTGAAACTTTTCGTAAAAGTCATAGATCATGAAAATGTTTGTCGACCAGACCATCATGCCAGTAACGTTCGTCATTTAGGCCTACTGAAAAATGTATGAAGACAACACTATTATTAAAGCATCATTTTCATATTTTAACATCACGCTGATTAAACATTACAAAGACGTTGCGGCGCCAACGCTATCCCTTAAAAAGTCCCTTAAAAAATCAGTAAAAAGTTATAAAAATGTTACTACATACAAGACCACTGTCTTAGTGTCGCCATAACATTTTTGTAGAATATCATGAAAACATTAGGCATGCTATTACGATATAAAAACCCCGAAGTGTTTACTGGGTTAGTCCAGGCCAGAAGATCAGTGCCATGTTTCTTAACTGAATTCGTCAATTCCATGGCTTTTGCGAGTCTCTAATAATCATACAATATTTTGTTTGCATAACTGTTATTACTGAGCTCGGCAGACTTATTTGTCGCCTACTTTTGGAGGTGAACCCTTGTGCGGGCGAAGTGGCACGTGGGCGAAGTGGCAAATGGGCGAAGAGACAGACACCGGCATCACGACGTACGATGCCAACTAATCGACGGGTGCCCTTCCCAGCTCCCAGAAGTCATCATACAAAAGAGATGTTTAATTGTAAACAACGTCTAGGCATAGTTTTGTGTTATTTTTAGCCTGGTACCCATTGACCTGCTCATATACACTGTTAAGTTTCCATAAAAGATACTGGGCGTACGTCCAGCGTAATATACCGTATGATCAGCCGGCCTTTTTATGTGTCATCAAAGTTGTAAATTGTAAAAATGAATGTATTAGTCTCGAAAAGTTCTGCTCGCCTAGCATTGAAGACACAAACAACAGTGCGTTTGATCAAATCGTCTGCACGCACTTTTAACGTAGAAAAAAGCAGGTGAAACTACATACCTTTTCCTTGCTCCGTGTATCCTTGCCAATGTAATGACCTACACTACAGTACGTATGCTACATCATGTCATGCATGAACATGCATGCACATCATGTGGAGCCTGCATCATACATGTTTCGAGGGCCCGGCCCTGGGGGATTGTATTTTTGGGGACCCCGTTCCTATACACATGTAGTAGAAGGTAGAACTACATTTAACTTTTGGATTCACCTTGGTAGATGACTGTGACATCTTGCTAAATAACTGTCATGAATGTAGGGTTCATGTTGTGAAAAGAGGGTAGGCGTAAGTTTTTTTTTGAGTTTTGAGGGAAATGGTGAAGGGAAACTGTGAGCAGGTGGGTGTTTGACACACTTCAAATTTGCATGGCTGGTTTATATCAGTCATGTCAGTAAGAAACTCATGTTTCTCACAATTTACACTTGGAAATTTGCAAAACATAGGGTCCGCGCATTAACCCTAACAGTCCCAAATCGTCCAATTTCAATGCGATTTTACATACACCCTTGGGAGTTAGGGTTAAACATCTTAAAGAGAGCCTTTGATTGTGGGGGGTTGACCAGTTTTACAAGATTAAAATGAGAAAAAAGCTGTGGGGTCCCTAAATATACATGTACAATTTCCCCCATGCATGTACATGTACGGCATGTATACACGTACGTCATGCACTTTGGGCCAACTGAATGAAGGCCCCTACATGTATATCATTTTAATGATTATGTGTAATGTTCCTTTACTTTTTCTATTTAATTTTTAATATTGTTTGTCAGTAGTTTCTATAACCTGTTGTCATTGTTATGAGTGTCCATGCATGGGACTCCCACTCAACAAGTCATGCTTCTTCAAGCTCTTGGGGGTCTCCATCATCAATTTTCCTACCATTTGTGACTCTTCGATACCGGCGATTCACAATAGCGCACTTCCAAGCATGCTAAGAGTTCGCAACGCATTGGCCAATCCATTGAATTCTACATGTAAATGTGATACTGTGTACATGTATGTAATTTGCGGAGACTGGACGCAAATTTTTTTCTTACCTAAATAAAACATCCAGATCCAAGTCATTACTCTGATTCGCCTTCTTCTGTAGAGTTGTTTCCTTCAAAATGTGCTTTGTTAAGTTAGATCACTTGGTTACAAAGGTGCGCAAAATCTGTCGACCCAATGCGCGTTTGGAAAGGGGCGACTGTTTTCGCGCATTGTGATTGGTCAACGCGTTGCAAACTCTTGCAGGCGCACTGTTGTGAATTGCCTGTATTCATATTATAAAGTAAAGTGAAATTGAGCTTCTAACCTGACATGCGCGTGCCTGATCATGATCAGTTGAATATGAATCCGACGACTGCTTGACTCCCAAGTCCAAGTACTAGTACCGTATCTGACATGTCCGATGACCACTTCTGATAGACAGTCACTGATCATGCTGATCACTTATGTACCAACATGACTAACCAACATGGCTATTAGGAATTTACTGGAGTTACCCCAGCTTGCCTGTATAATTCAATAGAAAAGGCCAGTAGTCAAAACAAGCAATCCCACATGAAAATAAATTTGCACAAAAATAGCAGTCCTCGAAGTCTCTCCTTAATGATTTACGTTTAAGTCAGCATGTCTCAGTCTGGTCTTCTTCACTTACCCCCAATTCTCTGATGCAAACCAAGTTGGAGAAAACAGAGCCCTACTCAGACATACTCAGAGCCCTGTCCCTTGTAGAAATGTCCAATATACATGTACATGTACTTGGCAGGTACATATACATACACAGTAAGGTATAAGCAAAGTTTACACGACTTTAGTTTGTATGATGTAATGTCAAGGTCTCGGTTGTTCAACACATTGTCACATTTCTGAAATGTGTATTAATTTCTGCCTAAAATACATGTAGATTCACAGCACTGTTTCAAGTCTTACGGATGGTGGAGGTTCCGGCGTGTGCATGTAGTTGCAGAGCCATACAGGTGTACCATGCCCTGAAGTCCGGCTTCTTCCGAACCTGTCGATGGAAATGGAGACAGGTTCCTTATCATCATGCTGTTCCTCGTCTTTCCACAGGTATGTTCCTTTTTGTAGGTCTAACCTCTACAGATGTTGTGAAAAGACCAAATAGTGCACCCTGTGAATTGGTATACATGTACCAGTATATCTATGAGCCGGCTTGCCACTCACCCAGAGAGACCATTGCTCCCCTCCCCCCATGTGCACATTTGCACAATGACTTTACTTCTCCATTATGTACATGTATGTTGATGTTGTTGAGACTGTTCAAATCCCAGAAACCTTGTGCTAATTCTTCAGGTGCAAAGTTTCAGGTTATTTTAACATCTAGACGTGACACTGGATCGTTCACTAATTGTCTAATGCTCACCGTCTGCAGGTGCGCTTCTGTTTGGGGGCAGTTTGAGTTGGGGATTGTTGGGCGTGACAGCAGAGTGCAAAATCAGAACAAAAGGAAGCACCCGTCTCCTGGATAAAAATGCTTACAAGGATACTGAGGGGCGTAAGCAGCCACGCTTCCAGAAAAGGAAATTCCTACGGCTACTGTGGCCAGATATATGGTACTTAGTGGCTGCAGTTGCGGTAAGCCTTGCTTAATATCTTGCCTGTTATCTTACCTGTTGTTTTATCTTTCCGACTTTCTGTCTGTTGTGTTTTTCCTGTTGTCTATCTTGCTGGTGTCTTGTCGTGTCCTTCCTATTGTCATGTTGGTGTCTTGTCTGTTGTCTTTCCTTTTATCTTGTGGGCATTTTGTCTGTCGTGTCTTTCCTGTTGTTTCGTTGGTGTCTTGTCTGTCGTGTCTTTCCTGTCGTCTTGTTGGTGTCTTGTCTGTTGTGTTTTTCTCGTGTCTTGCTGGTGTTCTGTTGTCTTGTTGGTGTCATATCTGTTGTGTCTTTCCTGTTGTCTTGCTGGTGTCTTGTCTGTTGCATCTTTCCTGTTGTCTTGCTGGTCTCTAATTGGTTGTCTCTATCCTGTCGTCTTACGTGATATTTTGCCCATTTTTTGGCCCACTGCCATTGCTTTTTGCCAGTATTTGGAAACAGTATTTCCCCAAATTGACAGTTTTGCCGTTGATTGTCTGAACAGAGTGCTCTTGCTGCTGCTTTGATCAACGTTCAGATTCCAGTCCTACTTGGCAACATGGTACAAGTGGTTGCTGAGGCTGCAAAGCATTCTGGGAACTACATGCAAGAAATTCGAGGGCCTGCAATGAAACTGATTGTAGCGTACTGTTTGCAGGTACTGTACAATCTATCCTCAGTCCAATGATGATAAAGTTATTTTTGGTAGTCTAACCCATCCAATGACACCTCCCCCCGGACTCCATTGACCAATCAGACGTTGTCCTTTTCAGGCTCTTTGCACAAGCACTTACATCTCGCTGCTGTCCGCGGTCGGCGAACGCACTGCAGTCCGAATGCGAGAGGCCCTGTTTGCCGCCCTCCTGAGGCAAGACATTGCTTTCTTTGATTCACACCACACGGGAGAACTCATTAACAGGTATGTTTGTGTTGTTTGTTCCTTCACCCAATAGTGTGCATTCAGGATGATTTAAGGATGATTTAAAGTCACTGCCAAGAAAACACTGAAGAAAAGTTCAGTTTTAGATGTGAGAGGAAAACCCCAGATATATATTCCAGGGTAAATTCACAGGATCAGGTAGGGACTGAAAACCCAACCCCCACGCCAGCCTAGGTGGGATTGGACGCCAGAGGGCAGTTCACTGCACCTTAGATTGCATGCAGGTATGTCATACCTTAATCTGTTCTGGAAGTCGTCTTCTTTCACTCAGAACAACTGTTGAGAAATGTGTGAATTTGTTGAGTTACACACCACTTTGAATGCGCTAAAGTTTCATAAAATCAGCTGCTTCATGTACCTGCATTTGAAATTGACAAATGTGACCTGCCACAACAAAATGAGCGTAAATCGCATTCCGCTCTTGTCTATTTTGAGGGTTTAAACTCATTGAAGTGGAGGTCAGTTTTGGGGTACTGTAATATTTGGAAAGAGTAAGCCGTCTCTTATTTAATTAAAAAATATTTCGCAGGATCGTATATTTAAAAATGTCATTTTTGCAGCAATTTTGATGATAGCATTATTCGTACCTTGTCAGAAATGTTGAAACAGTGTTGGGAAAAAAGACGCAAAGCTGCCAAAATAATGTCTCACCGTTACTTCATAGTTTTATTCTAAGTGTTCCAAATACATACCATTGAGAAAGCTCTCTTTTACTATATTCAAATATACCAATATCTGAAAATTCCAACTTTCAGCTCATTTTGTGGTGGCAGGTCACAAATGAAAGCAAGTTTTAATACCAACATGTAAAAGTTTTGGGCATCATGAACCATAAGCCCAAAACTTTTGCCAGGAATCTCTTTGAGTCTTCCAAATCCAGTATTCTGAAGAAAACTAGTGACACATTCCTTGTGCTGTTTCAAAGAGGAGCAACCCCCACTGAAGTTACAGTGACTGTGCTGTATTTTGCTAAATCTTACAACTTCCTCGAAAACAACCTTGTGGATTTGGAAGGATCTGGGAAGGATGGGATTATTGTCTTTTTATTTCTTTTTTAATAATAAGAGATACAGCATTCGGGGAATAATTAGTCAAATCAGAACTCTTTTTGAAACAGACTTTCAGCAGATGTTCAAGATTTCAAGAGTGCCTTCAAGCTGTGCATAGCACAGGGCCTGCGTGGGATCACCCAGGTGCTAGGGGCAGGGGTGTCTATGTACGTTCTGTCTCCCAAGCTGACTGTGCTGCTCATTCTGGTGGTCCCTGGTCTCGTGCTGGTGGGGACAGGCGTCGGTGCCTCACTGCGGTCGCTCTCACGCCAAGTCCAAGAACAGGTAGGACAAGGAGCGGATGGAGTGTTGTGGCCTGGTGGATAAAGCCAAAGATTTTATGGGTCATTGTCTACCCTTTCGGGTTGGATTACAACTTGTTTCCTTGTTTGCTGCATACCGATGTCTGTGAGCAAGACAGATCATCACAAACTGGTTTGATAGCTGCTCAGCTTAGAGTTACAGTACATATTTATTTGCCTAATTGTCCGCGGTTGCTGAAATAACTATTATTGAGATTGAAGTGTTCCTGTTGAAATGACAACGCCCCAACTACAGCATCAGTCCCAACTATAGTTGGGACAGTCCCAACTATAGTTGGGCCTGTCCCAACTAGGGTGCTATAGTTGGGCCGGCCCAACTACAGCAGAGAGGTCCTGTGTGTATGTGTCCAGCATGTGCCAAAGTCATGTGGTTTACAATGTCATGTGATAGATGAAGTGCCATATTTTATATAAATTGTGTCAAGTGTGAGATGTAAAAACTAGGATAAGGTTATTGGTCAACAATAGTTGGGCCAGCCCAACTGCAGCACTACAGTCGGGTCTGTTTCAGCTATAGTTGGGACTGACGCTATAGTTGGGGCGTAACAACAGCATTGAGCTAGCCTTGGTCAAGGCATTCGTTGTGAGCCATATCACATAGAAATTCATTGCTGCTGTTGGTTTTAAATCTGCACATAAAAAACAACAGTAGCAACGGATAGCTTGCTAGTACAGTGCTTCCGATGACGAATGCTTGACCAAGGCTACTGGTAGCATTGGGTTGCAGTGGTTTGTAGGAATTTTCATGGTCTCAGTGAACGGTTCATGCAATTTGTTGTTTTTTTTCAGAAAATATAAATTCTATTTGGTATTGAGCTGTTATTTCCTTTGTAAAGTATACACCTTCCATATTGCTTGGTATTTTACCTTTTTCTGCATATTGTCTTACTTTCTGTAGTATGCTTGTTTTGTATTAGGTTGCTATGGGTACTTCTGTTGCCGATGAGGCACTAGGCAACATGAGAACCGTTCGCTCCTTTGCAATGGAGGACAAAGAGTTTGAGCTGTACTGCCAGGAGATTGACAAGTCAAGACGGCTGAATGAGAAACTCGGTCTCGGAATCGGGCTCTTTCAGGGACTCAGCAATTTGGCTCTCAATGGTGAGATTTGAGACACGCTAGACAATTGCCAGCACACTTTAGATGTGACTCGCTCCAAGGAAAAAGCACTACAAGTCTCACCGTGCCTTTTCCTGCTACGGCCTGCTCAAAGTTGGAAGGGGAAATTTCTCATGGAATTCAGGTTTTGTTTTTTGTATTCAGGAATAATATCATTGATCTCTAAAGCTAAGGTTTTATGGACAAATATGTATGAAAAGGAAGATGTTTGTTGCTTGAAAGATATCAAAGGTGAGTCTTCAAGCCTACAATGTGCAAAGTTTGGGTTAGACTCACCTTTTTCCAAGCCAGTTTGCTCAGTTGGGTTTAATAGGTTGAATTCCACATAGAATTAATTAATACGAATGGGCTATTGAGCTCAGCCAAATACCAAATGCAACCTTCCACTGACTGTTGGTTTTCCAGCCGTTGGTGTGACTAAGTTTTTCATTGTTGTAACAGAGGGCAAGTTTGTTTCACGCTGATCCGGATCGCGATCCGTGATCCGTCGTTGGTTCACTGACACCAAAACCCGCCTTATGGACGGAGCGAACCTGCGCTAGGATCACTGATCAAGATCCAGATCCGTGTAAAACAAACTGGCCTAAAACGTACCTCTTTGCAAAGCATACTCCTGTTGTGGAAACTCCAACCTAGATTTCTTCTTCCTGTTCCAACCTAGATTTCTTCTTCCTCTTGTTTCTTCTTCAGGCATCATAGTCGGCGTGATATACTGTGGGGGCTATTTGCTGTCCAGCGGTGATCTGAAAGCCGGTCAGTTGATGTCTTTCCTGGTGGCCTCGCAAACCATCCAGCGATCTCTGGCCAGTATCTCCATCCTGTTTGGACAGGCCATCAGAGGGACCAGTGCTGGGGCCAGAGTGTTTGAGGTAATCACAGCCGTACGGTCGTAAACAGCTACCAGTCAGTCACAGATCAAATCACAAGATAGTCACAAACTTTCTTCGTAATAGCAATAAATCCTGCATTCTAAGGAAGTAAATAAATTGATAATCTGCTCATGACAGCACATTATCTCAATGTACATGTGCAGTTTACATTTAAAGGTTGTGATATCCGAGCACTTTGTATATCTTATTTTATCCCTCTGTCACTTGATTTTGGGATTGGTGGTGCCACAGGCCTCCTTCCAATAGTTTTATTTTTGAAAAGTATGAGAAAAATGCAAGTCGTTGGCGCTATTTTCATTTCATTTCCAAAAAGCCCCAACATTAAGCCTCACCCCTCAGAATGGCCATAAAAGGTTAGCGAAAAGAATGTCCAAAATTTTTTGGTCCCCCCAAAAAACAGTTTTTGGTGGCCCCCCCGTATGTTGACTCTGGATCCACCTCTAATTTTGGGCAGATTTTTGTAGGAGATACTAACCGCAACATCATTGTCCAAAGTGGGAGAAAAAATAAACACACTGGACAGATCCAGAGGGAACATTTTTTTCAGGAAGGGGTGACATAGTTTGGGTTTTCAGTGTTTTGTTTCCTGCTTTTGCCGACGTGATAAAGTCTCTAAGCATCTCTCTTTTACAAGTTCTCTTTCACAGTCACTGACTTTTTTCCTTTTTTATCAAACTCCCAGTATCTAGATTTGCAGCCCTCCATTCCGCTGAAGGGAGGCAAGCATATTCCTTACCACAGTTTCTATGGCAACGTGCAATTCAAGGATGTGACATTTAGCTACCCAACGAGGCCAGACCAGGTATGCCATCCAACAAATTAAAATTGAAAGCATTTCATTCATTTATGTAGAAATTTGTATTGACAAGAAGTGGTTTTTGCTTTAAACTGCTTTATTATTGCGCCAGTTCAAAAACTTCAATTCTCCAAATTTGTCCAAATTCAAATTGTTGTGTACCGTATATCTGCTTTGAGCTGTGCAAGGAATCTTACATTGTGTGCACTAACTTTTTCTAAAATATTGATTGTAATGATGGTAAAGTCTCATATTTTGACCCTCCCACTTTATTTCAAAGTGCACAGTAACAGTCATAGACTTGAAATCAAGTCGGTGATCGGCTGGGTGTAGTCCACCTTCCTCATGTGATGTATACACGGTGCGGTTGGGCGAGCATAATAACACGTGGGAACGGTCAGTGCAATCTCCCTCCCAAATAGACAGATCCGACGGTGCCCAATTACTGACTTGAACAATTTGCAAGCCCCTTTGTGCACAACACATGGGGCTTGCTACCAAAATTGGACGGAGCGTTCTGATTGGCTAGGAATCCCAATAATATGAATATTTATTTCAGGGGCAGTTTGATTGGCCAGTTGAACGCTCGTTAACAACAACCACAGTCTCGTTCATTGAAGAGGGTGTCTACTTTGTCCTAAAAAGATGATTTGCCATAAAAGCATTGATTCTCTTACCAGAAAAAGATAGTTTTTGTTCTTGAATAATTATGTACATGTATGCTTTGTCTCTAAATGTCATATTAAAAGGGATATTAATGCAAGACATGAAAGAATCTGGCACTAATCAATTGTAAACATCCCTTTAAATAAATGGATGAGTCTGTTCTGTAGCATGAGCTACTATTGGCGCTCTACATGGAAGTTAAGTTGTTGCGTACATGAATATCTATCCAGTATCAGGTTGATCAAGTCGTTAGGCGGGCTCGGGGGTCGTTGGTCGACGTGCGCCCAAACCTAGTACTGAACAGCCCATGAGCAAGGGCAGAATGGGTGTGGCATGCTGGATGGATTGTGGGCAACAGTGGACGGGCTCCGCACTAATTGTAAAATGACTCAGCGTATGGACGACAAACTCGACCGACTAACGACTTGATTTCAAGTCTATATTAGTCAGTGCCTTGCATTGCCAAACCACTTACTCTATTCCTTAGTGAATAATTATTCAAGTTTTCCAGTTGCAATGGTTGGTTTTGGCAAAAATCTAAGGTCATATGAAAACCAAGTTGTAAAGTTCAAAGAAATTCTGTATTTACTTTCAGAGCAGTTTCAATTGAGCCTTGTTCATACGTTAAAAAGAAGAAAAAATAATTCTTCTCAAGAGTGAATTAAATTACTAATAAGCAAAACAAAATATGTAAAATATCAACGCAGTGTGTTTTCTTTCAATGAAAACCATGTGGAGTGCACGTCTTTCTTGTCAACAAAATTTGGCTTTAAGAAACAGGCAATTTTGAAATTTTTGAAATATGTGTTAGTGGCACAAATACACCGTAGTATAGATAAAGTGGGACATAGGCCCAGAGATGTTTTGCCCATCTCCAAAAGGTAGAGCATTACATGTGCTGCTTTCATTCGTTTTATAGCTATTTATCTATCTTTTTACACCCCTTTCACAAGGTTGTCCTGAAAGATTTCAACCTCAGTATACCAGCAGGTAAAGTCGTCGCTGTGTGTGGACCGTCAGGAGGAGGTAAGTTAAGTAACAATAATTGCAGCAGTAATAGAGGCTTTGCATGGTAGCCATCTTGCAGGACAGATCTCTTGTTCCAAAGGGAAACCTCTTTTGTGCATACCCTTTGGAACAACAGTACTAACCTGCAAAATGGCCGCCATGCAAACCCTCTATAGTGGCAATACCATAAGGAGCCAAGGGCAGAGAACCACATTTCTTTTAGGGGGGTCACTTACTTTTTTGGGGGGCAAAAATCTGGAAATTTCTTAATGTAACCTGTTACAACCTTTCAGAGGAATTGTTGCAGCAATGCAGCTCTAGGCGGTTAGTAGTAGTACATAGACTGTGGTAAAGTGACTGTGCAAAACATGGGAAACGGTAAAAAAAAAATGTCGTTTTGATGAAGGAAAAAGCAGTTTTGACTGTTTTGTTTTTTTACTCGTTGTTGAACAAAGTTTGCAAGACCCAGATGCATGATGTTTGTGCGAAATCGCACTGATGAAAAACTGGCATTAACCACAAAGTGGAAAGTAGCCTCTTGTCACTGGTGTAATCATTTGTTTGGTGGTCGCTAATTCAGGTTTTGGGTTGGGGGTAAAATGGGAGATTTTTGTCTGAAATGATGACTGGTAGTTTTTTATTCACTCAAAGAAAGGTGTTAATATCATTTCTGAGGTGTTGGCACTTTCAATTAAAAACAATAAGATTGCCGGGAAGTCTCCCTGCCCCCGCCAGCACTATCGGCGATATACTGCATCATGAATGACTCCAGTTATCAACCCAGGATGCTCACTCACTCTCACTGTCGTGCGTTCCTTCAATCTGTGCAGGGAAATCCACTGTGGCATCTCTGTTGGAACGATTCTACGACATAGGCCAAGGGTCAATCACCATCGACGGGTTGGACATCAGGGATCTGGATCCCAGCCGGCTCCGAGGTCGCACCATTGGGTTCATTAATCAGGTGGGCCAGTCAAATCAAGGCTACAGATGATCCACTGAAAGTTAACGCTGTGAATCGGTTTGGGACATTTTTATGAAAAGAATTTTTCACATTCACACTCATATTTCACAAGGCGTGAAAAATGACTTCCTTACTTGTGGAAAAATAAGTGAAAATCTTTCCTCTCTTTGCGGAAAAGTTTTTCACGTTGTGTAAAATAAAAATGAATTCCCTGGAAAGAAAATATGCGAGGAAAAGATTTTCACATTCCCAGGTTGACTTTGAGTCGCAATGTACTGTAAAAGCTGCATGTATTGCCAACTCCTGCAACATTTCACAGGACTTTCCCAATGTAGCCCCTTTAACCACTTCCTGCCTGGGACTCCGGAGACATATGGTTT